GAGCGTCAGACTCAGAACCGACAGGTCTCAGATTTTAGTCCGAATCGGGCACTCGATTTTCTTCCTTCCAAAGTTTATAAATGAATAACACTCCAAGGGAAGGCAACAGGAGACTGCAAACTATGCCTGTCACATAACCTGCCGCTCTGCCTCTAAAATACGGCACTTCTGGTTTATGAAATGGAAATGGAGATCAGTGCCTCACCATGAACTTCATCAAATAAAGGGTGTCAAAAATGGTACTTTCATGAAAATGTAAAATAGACAGACATTCTAACGGCGTGCAACTTTAAATGAAAGTGACAATAATAGTCATATCATGAATAAAAATTGAGAAAGACAACTATGATAATGGCGGAAATTAAAGAAAAGAACTGATAGAATGCTCATACATATTTTGAAACATTTCCAAAAGAAGCAAATTCGAATGCTCCGTGCTTATAAACGCATACAAATTAGCTTACCTGAATTTTGGACGCTAGAAAACGGCTGACGAACCGCAGATTCTTGCTTAAGATACCGCCTTCTTTTCGTAGCGGTGAGCGCCGTTTCACACTTCGATGCCATTCGCTTACGCATTTTAACCAATGACTCTTTCTATAAAAGAAAACGCAATAATTATTGACAAATACATAAAACATACGCAACAAACGAACACTACTTGAAACAAATAGAGAATATACTTTACGATCATGGTTGGCGGAACCTGTTGCATAAAGTTTAAGAAACAACGAAAACCAGAGTTAAAATTCAGTACGAAAAGATATTAATGGATCATTTCTAATCTAAATCAGCAGACACAGCGAGTTACACAAAAGACAAATTTTTTACCTGAGGTAATAATTGAACTGTAACAACCAGAAAACTGTTTACGTTTTCCCAATGCACACTCTTGTGGGGAAAAGGAAGCATTAACGCAATAAGTAACAAAACTGTCCAGGCTTCCATTGATTTACTACTACTACAACACCATTTTGTAGAATTTTCTCGAATATCTTAAACAACAGTACGCATTGCGAAGCGTTGATAAATATGTGGTCCACTGCGAAAATAACACACCTGTGTCAAAAAAAGTCGTTCATGTCGACTAGAAGAGCCAAGACCAGTTTCAGCATAGTCAAGAAGCCGCACTAAAAGGATTTAGACATTACCACCTAGGTACAGCAGTAAAACATCTTCATCCTATGCAATTTAGGTTGAAATTTCACTTTGGTAAAATAACTGACTTTGCATGGATCGTTAACGCTGTAAACAATAAATTGGACTAGCATAAAAAGTTGGAACCAGCGATATTCTTGGAATTTTCATCTACATTTAACACCCTATCCATGGCACATTCCATAGTCGAAAGAACTATCTATAAGTTTATCCAAAGGTCATCCAAACCTTAGCAATTTATTTTTCAAATCGACTACTGAACCATTAGTCGTGCCAGAATCCTATAGAAAAGTATAGAAAAATATAACCTCGATGTTGTAGTTAAAAATTTCAATTCAGCAAAAGTTAACCCCGATGCCTCTAGTCGTTTAGGGAGGCCATTTGAACAGGCTAAGGCTCCATGGTATTTAATCACCTGCACCGCATTACTGAGTTGGGCTAAACAAGGGTGAGTTCGAGCAACAAATAAATCTGCCACAATCCGTAGGCAAATGCATCGACAATAGATAACGTGGATACTCCAGGGTAGCTACCACATGGTGGTCTTCTACTTGCCGTAAGTAACAATGATATTTACAATTTTGATACCGGATTTTACATTTACAGATTTGTTATGAATATTCCTGAACTGTTAATAAGATCATTTGATCTTTCTGAGCGAATAGCCGCTTTTGCAACACTGATGGAAATCTTCCTCTTAAAAAAATGGTTTCTATTGGAAGAAATTGCTGTTGCCTTTAAATATGAAATCATCACGTGCAAAATAAAAACCGCACATCTTTTCCGGAACCTTTTTTGTCCTGGAACACAGTTTTGCAAGAAGTTGATTAACGGAATGAAATTTTCTTCACTTGATTACCAATCTGCTGCAAGTAACGTGGTGGCACAGTGAGTTAGAAGCGGAGTTCGAACTCCTGAGGAGCAAAGTTCAATTGGTTGAAGGAAGTTTTTGTGTTAACCACGAATTCCCTGTCGGCAGAGCGTCAGACTCACGAACGAGAAATTCTGGGTTCGAACTGCTGTTTGGGTCACTCGCCTTTCTTTCTTTTGAGGTTGATAAATGAGTGTCACTCCAGGGGAAGGAGACTGGAGACTACACATTATGCTTGTCATGTAGCTGCCGTCTACATCGGCTTTAAAATAAAGCACTCCTAGCTTATGGCATGGAAATTAAGGTAAACGCTCTAACAGTGACTTTATCAAAAGATACCGCCAGAATCGCCCCATCATTTTCCGGCTGCTTGATTGTGAAAAAGTACAAAAAATATGGGCAAACCCTGTTCGTGCTTATTGCTTTTAAGCAGGCATGCTGAAAACCAGGCCAGGTTGCTACTTCATTATGCTAATACATCAGAAGCTGCAAAATATCTGAATGCTAATCGCTGTGAGAAATTACATGATTTGACTTGCAATAAAAGCGTTCCTTACATGTCGGATCAAAGGAAACTTTGGTGCCAAAGTCTTGAAATTATGAGCACTGATTTCAATAGATTCAAACAAAAATTAATTAACGCAGTATAAAATAAATCCTTTTTAGAATTGTATGCTCCTTTAACAAGCCACCTTTTAAGTGTTCAGTATGTCACAGCGAACTTAGAAACAAAATGCCATCTGTATGTAAATTGGCAGTTCCTTTTATAGCACTCTGTGAATTAACTGAAGTTGACAACTGGTACCGAAAACTATGATTTATGCTTCGGATGTTTAATAGTACTGTACAAACATCATAAGACGTCCGTATCCCAGAATCTGTCAAATAACGAACCACTCCTACAAGACCAGATCTGACGCTGGATGGCACTGCCTCCTTGCTTATAGTTCCATATAACGGCCATATGAGCTGGTCACAACTCCATAATATTTGAGCACCTGCAGTATCAGATGCATCTCGCATTATTTTATTAGCTAGCGCGAAGTCTCGTTCACTGCCAACGATGTTTCAGCAGATGGTGCTCCTTCTATGCTACCAAATAGGCATCATAAATTGTTCGTACGCCCTAGCATGTCAGACCAGATTTTTTTGCTCAAACGGACAAAATGAGACGAGATGCATCTGACACTGCATGAGCTCAATTACTATGGAACCGTGCCTATCCTTAAACGGACCCTACGCAACCAGTAACAAGAGGATTGTGCAAACGTCGTAAAATTTGGTCTAAGAGGAATCAGTCGTTAACTGATGTTGACTGATACGTAATTACGTGTGTCATGATTGATAAACTTCGATTCCCAGTACTAGCGGCTGAAATAGACTTTCTGAGATAAATCGCTAATCCGGAAATGTCAGATATCGGTAAGAACCTTGGTGTACGAGCGCTGCTTCTCCAGATTCAGAAGATATAACTGCGATTGCTTGGGCAGGTCTTGCGAATACTTCTACGAAAGAAGGAGACACTGATATTGTTTTCTCAACTGACCAGCCGAAAACCCCAGGGGAAGTCAAAAATTACCTGGGGTGAGGGTATGGAAGGACATTTTCCAGATTCGAGCTACCTTCTGCCGAAACTCAGACTGTGACACAGGATTGGGAACGTTGGAACCACTGTCTGACGCATCTGCCTCCGCGATCCGAAAGAAACAGGAATCTTTCGGACATGTCAGATATTTTTCTGCTCAATTGTTGTCCTGTCCGAGGCACAGTAATATATTTCAGCAGCCAAATCGATACTTTGGAAAATTTCTTAATAAGAATATGTCCAAATTAGATCACAGATAATATACATGTTGAAGATATTAAAACTGCAAATTTATTAACCCATCTGCTGCAGTGAGGTAAGCAGAATTCCTAACCAGAAACAAGTATTTCCGTTTACAGTTGCTGTATGCACTGCCACATTGTTCGCAGTGGCGAACGCCGTTTCCATTTCCCTCTATCGTTATCAAAAGCAATTATCTAACCTGCAGCGATTAATTTTCATATGAACGGTGCAGCCCCTAAAACCCGAATATTCGGGCGTTCACATATCATTGCTGTAGGACATATCTTTTTTCAGCGCTCAAGTCCTCAACTTACGTACGAACGTACTCAAAATACGATTCGCCGGTCAGACAGGCAAAATGCCAAAAACGTTTAACCTCACTTACATTTGTCGTATCTTCGGCACAGCTACAACTGCCCAGGAGAATTGCCTGAACCTTGAAGCCGATGCCCATGGAGCTGCTGACGTAAAACAACACTGTTTCTCGCATGTTGCCATCGGTCATCGGGCGCCAGGTAAAAGTCAGGTTTTCTTTCCCGTTGGCGCAAACTCCAAATTCGGTGCGGGAGACACTGGGAAATATCATATGAAACTAAATGCAAGCTTCAGTCGATTTCTTACGTCAAGTCACCCCTTTTCCATGGAAATTTCTCGACCTTCACGGTAACGTTGAAAGAGGCTTCGTTTACCACTGATAATTCCACGAACCTGACTCCGCCAACAACTACTTCTGGAAATGAAACATATGGTGGTTTCATGAACTTAGCCAAAACCAGCACCGATTCTTCGGCCATGATGTAGAGTCGACAATGCAACAAAACAATTTAATACTTCTGAACTGGCGCTGCAAATGATGTCGCAGATTACTGTGTTATTAACAGGTACATAAAAATGCTAACCCGCTGATCAAAAGCATTCTGTAGATCACACTTACCCCTTCTCCGGATTCATATGGCGTATTGCATCGTCACACTGTTTCTAGTAGCTTAGCTAGTAAAGGGCCGTTTAGGCAGGTTATAGCACTAGTAAAGATGTTAGACTATTGCCTAGAAGCGAAAAAGTTACCGCCAATGTGGAAGGAGTCCAAATACAGTCATGTTCAAAATGAGCGATAAGTAATATATGAAGTATGGACTACTCAGCCAGCCCACACAGTATTTCCAGCTGCCTATTACGATCATTACCAACACATTTTCAATATTTCCTAACGAACAACAATCAAGGGAACAGGAAGATAGGAACTACAGCACAAAAAACAATTTTGCCTTAAATCAGCTCTGGGCAAATGAACAAATTCCAACTGTCGCTTTGCATTGCTTTTGTAGATTACGCGAAACTTTTCGCCTTTCGAAACTGTCGAGTTCAACGCAGGATGTACCAAGGCGGCAGATTAGGGGAACTGAGCCCATTACATCAACCAGCAAAAGGAATCAAACTGAAGCTGCTTCGCAAAATCTTCCCCGGAAGATCAAGAATCCCAACTGCATCAAACAGTCGCTTACGACTAATAATAAACGTGGCTTTACCAATCATATGGATCAACTTCGTCTGCATGAAACATTACGTTCCATACTCATTGTACTCTTAAAACGGACCGAAACGTCAGATGGCCTTAATTTATATTTCATGCGTTCTCATCCCTTTGTGACATACCAAAGCATCATATCATTTTCCCCATAAAGAAATCATTTTATATTTGTGATATAATTATATAAGGATAGTCATCATACGAGCGCAGCTTAAAACAAGAATCACGTTCGTTCCAGTTTAAGCAAATCGTCCAAAACACGAGATGACTTGGATCTAAATATCGTCTGTCGTCTAGATGTTTTTGACGGGCTGAAGGCCAAGTTCGGTGTATATGTTGATCTTGCCTGTGAAAATTTGCGAAAGCTATATTCGTCTCACCAAAATTAGCTTTGAATAAATGGTTTATTGTGTTAAAGCCAACCTCTATTCTTTGGCTACTACTTTTACACTAGTCATGGCGTTGGCACAGTAGTCAGAGGTCTGTTTCTCAGACTGGAGGTGCAGGATTCTATTCAGCAATTGTTTCATTCACGAATTCTCTTTAGCAAAAATGTTCTACACATTCCATCACACCGGGTTTGCTCAAACTGTTGTGTCAAACTCGTATCCGATACGACCTGAGTTTAAGCCCAGATCTGGGTTACTCGCTCTTCTTTCATCAGAGGCTGATTAATGATAGTCACTCTGTCGAAAGGAAACAAGAGACTACATGCTGCCCTTACCACATGGCTGTAGCCTGCGTTAAAAAGGGCAACCCTGGCTGATTGTTTAAAAACAGACATCAGCACCGCACCATCATCTTCATGAAATGAAGGGCGACAAAATGCCGTCATAAAAGTGAAGAAACTACGATGTTGAAACGTTGACTTTCATTCTTTTATTGTAATCAGATCTGCCGAGGCCCGTAATATTCTACGGAACAGAGCTACTCCTTCTGAATTACTGTTGTTGCTAAACTATACAGTTGACAATTATAATCATATCGAGGTTCCTATTTCTTTCACAATTTTTGTTCATTTGTTGCCTGTCAAGTTTCCATTCTAATGCTTTATTTCTTTTATGAAATAACCCCTTCATTATTTTTTGGCTGTTTCCCTTACACTCATTGTTGCTTCGTTTCTCTGCTGTCCCTTAATAGTAATTTTCATAGTTATCACGTACCGCGGTAATTCTCGGTTTCTTCTTGTCGTGATAACCATACACCGAACCGCAAATTTTAATTCGCCCGCCATGCAGCTATTCAACATTAAGCAAATTCTGCTGCTGTACATTTGACACTGTCCAATAGGTCAGTTATGATAGCCAGTTTCACAGTCATTTATTTGTGATATTTTTTCCACATTTATCATGTATCTTACCAGTGTTTAATGGCAGAATGACAGACGAGTTTGGCGAAGTAATTCAAGCAGTAAAGTGACTTGCACTTAAAATCTGTTCGTCATAATAACCTATTATCAACGGATATTTAAAGGTTAGCCATACTACTGCATGACCTATTACAATGTTACTTATATTATGTTTCTGGCTGATGCTGTGAAGTCTATACAGCGTTTTAATGACTAAAAAATATAACCGATAAAACGGCACGGTCACGCGGTCCAGATTGGAGGCAAAGGTTCAGCTTTGATATTGACTAAGTCGAGTCTCTTGTCAATGTCCTCGTCAATTTCACCAATTACCGCTCTAAAACAAAATCGCAGTTTAGAAGAAACGCACTAAAAAGCAAAAGAGTAATAATAACAGTTATTTTTGACGAGAAGCAGAAAGAAGGACAGGATATCATTCACACTTTCTCATAGAACTTACAAAACATCCACAAATAGAAATACTCTGACTCTTGTAATAATAGTTCAATGAGATAAAATTATTTCGAATCTAAGTCTGAGGTTACCAGTTTGATTTTATTTATGCAATTCAGGGTCCTAACTAGGCACTACTAATTCGGTACTGGCAAGGACTGTCGAAAAATATTGTAAAGGTAAATGATAATGTGACGAAGTAGTGTTTGCCGCAAAACCCAAGAAGAAGTCAACAGTCGCAAGTGTCATAGACACAGAAGTGTTTTCCTTACGCTTTAACTTTGCCCATGCTTCACTGCTGTACCAGGTCGTTTACCGATATAAAAATTTTGTACATCCAGCGGTTCAGTTAATTACGACCAGTTATCAGTTGGGCGTGAGGTCGCAGTGGTCACAAAGATCTAATCATTAAAGACAATTTTTGCTATGTCACTTAATGGTCGTCGAAGAGACCGACCAAAGGTAGTTGTTTCCCAGTGCCAATGCGGAACCAGTAAGTGGCGTAGGAGCCCGCTTCTGTAGGAGAAAGCGCAGTTGCCCGCCACCGACTCGCCAACGATATCTGCTCAAGACAAAAACCTCAAAAGTGCCTCAATGCTAAGAGTCCATTAGGCTCGATAACGGTTGCAGAGAAATCGGCTGTAGTTCGCGACGGTTAATCTCGAAGATCCTTTCGAGCAATATTTGCCAAAAAGCATCCCACATCGTCATAGGATCCGCAAATTGCTCGACGTTTCCAGTGGATCCATCTCCACCTGGCCATATCAAGGCAATCTTTACAGGGTTTACATAAATGTATTACATTTAAGTTGCCTGATATTTCAGATCCACCGGATTCATGAGACACTAAATTCTATACCTCTACGAATAGATGTTTGACACTTGTCAGCAGGACTGTCTGCAAAACATTCGTCGAAACAAAGTGCGACGGTTCCCTCGAATGAAAAATGAAAAGATTTTGGAGATGACTGGCCAGAGAATGCTGTGTGAAGAAATCAGAGAAAGACATCTGTCGTGGTTTGACACAACCATCCGGAGACAGAGTAGGGATGTATCCAAAGCATTCTACTTCAGAAAGTAAAAACGATCACAGACGCGACAGACACCACTGTCGACTCTAAAATAGCTGCAAGAGGCGGACTGGCTTGCGACGAAAAATATGACTTTCGCCGGAGTAACCCACATCATTCTGAGAAGTCACAGCGCGATTCATAATTAATCTGTATTCGGTTTTTACCCTTATACCTCAGATAACGATGACAACTACAACAGACAACTTAGAATGTTTTAGTGCAAAACATCTATTATGTTGACGGTACATCATGGGCAGGTACCACTGAATGGATTAATCAACTTAATGGTATTTATCAATTCTGTGCGGGATTATTGGCTCAGTTCGTTTGCGACTGCAGCGTCACTTAGATTATCCATGAAAAGCAGCAACTTACACATTTTCACCGCGAATAATGTACAGTCCGAGCGGCACTTGTTCGATCCCTTGTTGAGAGCTGAACACCCTTTCACACGAATCCTCCAAAATCACGTTTACCGTCTGGTCGAATCCCTTCATGACGCCCTGAAAAACAAAGCAACAACTCGCAGGCTGTGTCACACAAAAAAACACATTAGTGCACTTTGCTCACCACGATGTTGCGGCCGTCGCCGGTGATGACTGAGATCATTTTGTTCAGGAATGAGTCCAGAGCAGACGTCATCGCTGGACAGCGTTGTTGGTAACCTTTCCACGGACTTTAGCTAGATCATCAAAAGATATAATCAACCTTTCAAGTGAATAAACAAACTGCAAGCTACGTTAAGAATGCTGACCACGGCAGTCTACAGTAAAATCATTATATCAAATATTTTAATTAGCATTTTTAAGCAGGAGGAGTAAAGCATTGTTGCAAATGATACTCTGTGGTTAACGGCGTAGGATGTTCTTTAAACGAAACATGGCCTAATAATATTTCAAGTGAAACGAAAACGCAGGAACAATTTCAGTTACGAACGTATATATAGCTCTAATGAACTGTGATGTAAATTTCTGGCGTGTGTTTGTTGTGCCATGCATAACTTCTCTGGAAACATTCGCAGTTTTACAACACTTTTGCTATAGGGCACCAGTTACTATATCGGAAAGAGAAATATTCCCCCCCCCCTGAAAGCAAATCTGCCTCTATATGCTACTCCTTGTTGCACGCTGGTGTTCTAATCGACGTTTGCCGTGTCAGGGCTCCCACACAGGGTGCTTTGTTCTCAATCAGTTTGTCTAGCAATACCAGTTTTCCTTTCTGAAGCTCTGCATCTATTGAGGCAGCCTGTGCCAGGAGAAAAAATAATTATTTACGTACTGCTGCCATTTAACCCTCATTATGCGACAAGCCAACTATAGTGAACGCATTAAACTGTTGCTCTTGACCCTTCGTTACAACAACTGCTTCTAAGAATGATGCGGAGATTACCAGAGGCACTGGCGGCGAAAGCGATCCTCCATTTTACTCGTATCGGATGGCTTCACTCGCAGGAGATGATAGTACCGAAATAACAGAACTGGTCAACCACTTCAAGAGCTTCACTTCCTTGTTCTACATGTACGTCAGCTGTGCCGGGTGGGTTCCTCATAATTTGGGGCCTCCAGACGTTAAGGAAGAGACCGGCTTTCTCCATGCGTTGCATCCGCAAGTCGTCAGGTGACAGAGCCAGCTTCCCATACTAATCATCAGGACAATATCATTTGCACACCTCTCCAAGTCAGAAAGATATCCATCCGGATATCTTGAACTGCGCCTTCCCTCTAAAATGAGACCTAGGTCTTTGCCAGGGTCAACACTGTTTCGGAGAAGAACGTCGAAAATAATGTTTAAAAGCGAAAACGAAAGCAGATTTCTTTGGCGAAATCCACAGTTAATAAGGAATCAATCAAGTAGCACTACTTCAACTTTAACAGCAGACACGATTCCTGCGTACATCTCTTCCTAAATGGAACGATAAACGAAGAATTGTATCTGTCTAAATGACTTCTAAACCGTTATTAGCAAGAGAGAAGTAAGACTATGACGAGACACAATACACGTGGGTGACTGCCAGCAGAAGCAAGGACGTGTGAGCAGGGTAACAATAAAAAAAATTTAAGAAATTCTACACACGGGGAGGATAATCCACTGGGTGCATTAACTTTGAATAACAAAACAATTAATGCACAACCAAAGGCATACCTCAAAACAGTTCATAAAATGCCTATAGCAAAGCGCATTCAGGATCAATGGCGCTAATGGCATTCGCATGAATTGCTGAGGGTTCGAATCCAAGCATCATTAAAATTGTCACATTAACTATCAATTGCCTTGAGCAAGTTATTTAGCCCTACCCTCTCCACTGCCAAAAACAGCAGCAGGTCGATGACCGTTGAACTACGAGAACAAAATAATTTCGTAAGCTCATGTTACATGCTGCCGGATACTTCAATCCCAGAAGCTGACAGCGCAAATTACTGAGCACTACATGTACTCCTAGCACCTGCTTGATAATACTATAAACATTATATGAACCATTGATATAACAATATAAATATAATATCTTCATCTTCATCTTCTATCGCCGCTTCTCCTTTCGGGTCGCGGAGGCAGACGCGTCAGACAGTGCTT